CGTCTAACAATTTAATATATCAGTTACGTTCGCCGTATTTAATTAAAATCATATCTGATTTAATCGTAGTCTCAAAAAGCTCTTCACTATCTAAATTTTATATTTTCTCTGGACATTTTCATGCCTTTTTTCTCTCTGCTTTTGTCTAACATGACGAGCAGAGCAATCTAGTGCATCTAAACGAGCGAATTCTTAAATATGTATACTACGCTAAGAGAAAGTCAAATTGATGAGTTAGCAACATTAAAAAGATTTTTAAAACTGACTGGGTTTTTTAAATATGAATAATATATACGAAAAATTTAGTGGAATTTATTCCAACCTCAGATCTAAAGCAAGGCTATGTAGTGCAGACAACACAATGAGTGTATGTGCGAACATATGTATATACGCTTTTAAAGGAAATGCCTTTGAGATGAGATAACTAACTTTGGCCAGTTGATTTCGTGATGGTACATGCTGATAATCCATCCAAGCAGATCCAAACACATAAATAAGGCTTGTCTTTTATGCAGATCTCCCGTTGAGGCAGCTAAAACGCTAGGTATAATCTTTTGAGAATAGTGATCAGTTTCTAAGGTGCCTTCTTGTGGAGCCTGACAAAAGTCCTGTGGAGGCCGCATGTCAGAAAGAGAACAGGAATTCTCTGAGGCAATATTTTCATGGCAATGTGGAGAAGAAGAATATTGTGAATCCGAGGCTGGGTCGATCCCACCGGCTAGATGAAAGAACAAAGCAGCATGAAGACTTGATGAACGGAGAAGAGCAAGGCGCTGAGCACGTTCTTGGGAAAGACACGCAGATTTTTTAGATGTTTGGTTTGATGCTAATGATATCGAAGAGAAAATGATAAAAAGAAAAGAAAAGGTTGTAATAAAACAAAATAATAACAGAAACCAAGACTCGAAAATATCATAGAAAAGATTAAAGAGAATAATAAGAATAAAACTTTTGATATTATTAATTCAAATAAGTCTGATAAAATCAACAATTGGTATCGTTTAGTAGAGCAAAAGATAAGAAGAAATGAGCGTTGAATTGATGAGGTCATTATGACAGGCATACTATGCATTAGCACAGAACCAGACTTAAATAAAAGTATAAAAACATGGCCAGGACCAAGAAACACAGTTTTCAACAAATGTGTTTTGGAAAACAAAAGGTAATTAGTAAAAAAGATGGTCAAGAGGATCTATAAACTTTTCGCTAAATAGGCTTGTTTTGAACTTATTATCACAAGTAATTCGTATTTTAAGAGATACTTAAAAGAAAATAATCCGCACTGTCGTTGTTCTCATGTATTCTTCTCGCATTTGATGCATTCCCAGATTCACATTTAAAGCTGTTGATATCAATATGGAATTATTTCTGGAATTCTGCAACCAAATGAGTTTATTGCATAGCATGCGGTGACTGCGAAAAGAAATATGTTAGAGAAACAGGGAGAAAAATCAGCCTACGAATCAGCGAACATCGAAGGCTTTGCAGGAAAATGAATACATAAAGATCAGAATTAGCGGAGCACATCGCACAGACTGAACACGAAATCAATTGGAGGGCAACTGAAAGAAGAGTTTCATCCGGTGAAAACACAAGTAAGCAGAAGATTAGGGAGGCCATTGATATATTTTGAAAAAAATATCTGAAGAGGAGATTGGAATTATAGAGTTAGCGATAATTCTGCCTACTGCTTAAGCAAATTCGGGGAAAACAAGAATACAGCAAGACCATCAAAAAGGAGACGCCTGGATCAAGGACCTATTGTGAACAAGAGGGAAAGGGATCGCGATGAGAAAAGGGAGGGGGAATTTAGAAAATTAAGCGAAGACCTTTTCAGTGAAGTCTGCCCGAAGAAATCAGTACAACTTTGTAATCCGGGATTCACGGAACTAGGGCGAAAGACAGGCCCAACCGTCACATAAATAAGGCATTATAGTCTACATGTACTAGAAATCCACTCGAAATATAGCAGACTACGTGTTTAATCAAGGATGCGGCTCGTGAAGGCAATGCCTAATATCTACAAGCATGGAAATCATAGCCTAGGCGTTCTGTTCGGCGAGGAGTGCTTCTAAGGGCTTAAGAAAAAATGCCTGGAATTAGACGAATACTGGAACTGGAACTGAGTGAAATCGGTCAATCGGATCTATGGGACCATGAGGGAGATCTACATAGGACAGTCGGAGTAGCCGATCGAAAGAGAGAGGGGCAAAGTGAAAAGCAGGTGTGATAACACCACACTAAACTTACCAACAAAGGGCATACATTTTGGCGAGTGGAATGTCAATAAGTACGAATTTGCGATAGGGCAGGTTTGTGATAAAACGAGGAGGCTTAGATAGGTGGGCCAGCACAGTAAGAGGAGTGATAGTACAACCGTTTAGCCAGAACGGTTTGTCAAGGGATTGACTTTCACTGTATCTTTGATGAGTTTTAGATTAGTGCTAAAAATGGCAAGACTCATTGATGATGCGGACTACGATGCAGGGGAAGCGTCTGGGAATGTACCAAGTCGACTCTATGATGCTAGGAATTATGATAACTACTTTAGCAGAGGACTTCGGACAAGGCGCAACAACAAAAAAGATGAAAAATGTCTCAAGCAAACATGAACATCAGTTTTTGAGAGCCTACATCCATATGGTAATCACACGAATTCTAGTATGCGTTCTAGGCCAGTTATTTTAATATTGCCTCAATTATAATTTACACAGAAGCTGAGATCGAGGGGAGCCTGTGATAAATAAGATAACATAGAGCTACAAGGAAAATAATGACTAACTGATATGTAAGGTCGATCGTTATGCCGAATTACAAATTAGGATCATGGGCCTCTGGGTATGGAATGGAATGGGAAACTGATGGTGAGGCGGATTACGCTTCACAGTCTAAGGGACCAAAACTTGAGGTATTTTTTAAATAAAGATAGTATTTAGATGGGTTAATTGGCCATTTGATGTGAGTGGTGAGATAGGGCAAGTACGAGCAAGGTGAGAAGAGGTGGACAACAGTTCAACATAAAATTAAACAAGCGAATAGCATGACAAAATGTAATTGGGTGGTAATGATGACAATACAGCTAATGAGGCCAGCAAAATGTATAGAAGGGGACCAAGTCGATGATCCGATGCAATCAAGTCCTTTTGATGTCGATTAACATGCCAATTCCCACTACAAATACTGGAACTCTTTTTTGTGAAGGCATTCGTAGAAAATTGCTGGAGTACTTTTTATTTCGTTTGAAGAGGCTAATAAGAAGGATTCCTCAGTTGGCCTTACCGAAAGATGTAAGGGGATTTTGCCTTGGAGCTGTGACTAGATTTGTGCGAATATGCCTAGAGCGCATCGCCCTGCGACCCCGACGCCTAGCTGGATATGGGGACTAGACGAGTAAGCGAAAGATTAGAGAAGCGATAGAAATCAACAAATCAGCCAACAGCTTAAATAGAAGGAAAGAGTATAGGAAATAAGTGGAAACTACTTGTGGCAGTGGGATAGGATTAGAGAAAGAGAGAGGGAACGAGAAATACGATCGAGCAAAAAGAGCCTTGATTAAGCTAGAATCTGGTTTTCACTCTGAAATATCAAGCAATTCAATAACAATGAATTCATCAAGCTCGCGTGAAATGGGAGGAAATCACATGCGGTAACATTGCAGGATTAAAGTTATATGTGTTTTAGGGGAGGATGCAGCTGTTCGGTCACAATTGCACCCGTTTCACGCTTCATCAGCAGCCACTTAGCTTGACTTTTCTGCTAACATTTAGGCAAAACGTGGGATATCCAACCAAAACATGATAATCCTAATTAAGTGGATCAAATTGGCTTGAAGCCGACCACCTTATTTGACTTCGTGTTTTGGTGAATTGTCGTTTGGCGTGGTTTCCTGCTCTCACATTCTTTGTCGTTCCAAGGCTTAGCAAGAATTCGTCAGGGTCGCAGGGCGATGCGCTAAAGACATATTGGCACAAATCTAGTCACAGCGCCAAGGCAACAATCCCCTACATCCTTCGATGAGGCTCACTGACGAATACCTTCTATTTGCCTCTCCAGAAAAAGCGGAAGGCACTTCAACATCAATCTATTAAGGCATTCTTCGAATCCCAGTTTTTCTACATACTTTTCCTAAAGTAAATCAGTTATGCATACAATTCGTCATCTAGCCAGGATACTTCTTTTCTCATAATTGAGCGCTAGTTAATCCGGTATGTTTACTTGTATATTTGATTATCTGCATCTAGTTACAATTGAATTATTTTATGTTCTATAACTCTCCTTTGCTTATCATACATTCCTAGGCGCCCCCTTATTCACATTTTTTTTAATTTTTCCAAAGAATAAAAATGTCAATGAATGACCAATCGAAAATGGAACATAATTAATATTATTTCAGATTCAATATCAAAGTGTTTCATGAAGAATTAAATAAGGCAGGAAATAGGGATAAACAAAACATGTTGCAAACTTTGTCAAAGTAAATTCTGACAGTGAGTCTTTAAGGTATGCACTAATAAAACTGATAAGATTCACAGTGATTTTAGAGGTTAAATTCTTGTATTGTAACCAAACTGTAAAATAATGTATTACAGGTATAAGGAAAAAACAAAATATTTCTTAGCAAGTAGCGATAAAAAATCGTCTGTACCATCGTATTAGGCAAAATACTCCATACTTAATTCGTCTTGACTAAGGAGGCTTTGGTGCAGGAGCTTTAGAAAACCCAACTACATCCAAGTTTATCAATCTTCAAGGGATGCATAGTTAAGCAAAGGAATAAATTTTTCAAGAGAAGAT